AAATAGACGGACGGACAGACAGACCGACAGACAGACAGACAGACAGACAGACAGACAGACAGACAGACAGACAGACAGACAGACAGACAAATAAAACAAAGCTCATACCTGCCCATCGAACAGGTCCCAAAGTGCAACAAGAAAAAGTGTCTGCAGCATAGCTCTTACCCTATTTCGTCAGCGAATCAAAAACAATTATTAGATAGTATAACAGCATAGCATCGCAACGGTACTCTTTTTCCCAGAAGAATTTTGTTATCTCTACTGTAAGGGGGGATGAGAAGTATATTAGATCTTTCTTCATTTTGATAAATAAGCGTACCTCTTTGGCTCTACCAAAAGAGGTAATGATGTTGGTGGTGAGTATGCATGATGAAGATGTTAAGAAGGGGAGAACGAAGAAGAGTTATTTCCGTTGCTGCTGTTATTGACGATGTTCTTGGAGTTATTATAATTGTTTTCAACTGCAGTTGTAAAGGCTACCATTGTTATTGAGTTATTTTAGTTTACGATAGTGTTGAGGTTGGTCTATTAGCTAATAGCTACGCACGGCACTGCGCGCTTGGATAGATTTAAGCGTCTTTCTTTTTCTTTTTTCTTTTTTTTGTAAGTGTTTTACGGCACTTGCAACTGTTTAAGGTTATATTATGAGCGCACGGGACTCATTTAACGTTTTCAGTTGGTAGGACATTTTGAATTTTGCCCGGGTGGGAGCCGAAGCCTACTCTTATCGATTTTGGACCACCAAGGGATCTTTAACGTGCGCAACGTGCACTCGGGACCTCCGCGATTTTTGGCACTTGTCCGAGAAGGCTAGGTGTAGATCTTCCCTACCATAAGATCAGGAGTGTGGCTGAAAGACAGCAGTAAGAAGGAGCTAGCGAGTAGCAGTAGAAAGGCAGCAGAAAGAGTCAGGAGTCCAAAGGAGGGGACAAAGGAGGTGAGGGCAGAAAGTGGAGACGAAAGCGAACAATGGAACATTGCAAGAGGGCAGGAAAGGAGGTGAATGGAGACAAGTTTAGAGAATAATTTTTTTCCCGTCGCTACCCAGATTCGAACTAGGGACCTTTGAATGAGAGGCGAACTCCTTAACCCCTAGGCCACTAGAGCCCAATAAGCGTCTTTCAAGACTGTAGTGACAATTCGCTACATTAGAACTACAAAATTCCATCTGACGTTGTTGGTCATTTTAAGTTATTAATACTATGAGGTCAGAAACCAAATATTATGTTATCTGCTCTATCAAAATCGTTAGGTTATTCGGAGTCATTATCAAGTTATTCAAAGATTTGAATACGAAAAAACTTGACATGTTTTTAAAATCAACATTTTTAACGTCAGAATATATCTCAAAACTAGGTACAGAACAGGCAGAACTTTGTATTCTGGGGTAGCGAATTTTTAAGTGGTTGGACATCTGCTTTCAGCAAGTGAATAAACTAGAACTCTGCCCTCACATTTCTGTTTTAAAAACTTCTTTAAGGATTTGCAATAGAGTATTCTACTTTGTAGTTCTACTCGATACATAGTGAACAATCGGCGGGTAACAGTCAGAGATTTCCCTTATGAATTTACTTATGAACTATCACGCACATCCGCGGTCTCTACTCTCTGTGGGGCTACACACTGGTCGCCATGACGTCAATTGTGAAAGACATTACTTTATTTTTAAAAATATTTTTTAATGGAGCCTCTTAGATTTTTGCGTAAACAAAATACCCAAGACAGACGCGTGTCTACTTTTGAGAGATGATTGTCTTTCTTTTCGGTACAACTTCTATAACAAGATGAATCCTCAGTTCAAGTGGATCCCAATGGTTACAGTTGCTCATAATATCGTCCTTTTCCAGGTACAGTTTGAAGGTCTCACTGGACCACTGGCCCTGAGACAAGGGCAAAGGTCGGAATACAAACTGGACGTCTACAGACTGCAATTCAAACGACCAATGAGAAAGGTATGTATAGAAATCCCACTTTGTAACTTTGGTGAAGGATTACTAGGAGTAATAATAATAAGGCAAAACACGAATGGAAGAAAGTTGTCTTATCTTTAAGAAAATATATACCGTTCAACAGAGAAGCCTTAATTTGCTTCACACACACACACACACACACACACACACACACACAC